GGTAATGAAATGGAGGACATGTCCTGGAAAAGGAGGGCGGCTGTGGGTGAATGGGCGCCGTACCTGCGGCCTCCACCTGGGGAAGGAAGCCCAGGTGCTCCTTGTGCTCCTCCGACAGCACCAGCAGCATGGTCCTCCGCTCAGCGCCCCCCGCCGACCAGGCGCGGCACTTCTCCGCCCACAAAATGGCCGACGGAACCTTCGCCCCGCCCAGGAGCCTCAGCCACACAGGCCCGGCGGGGGACAAACCCCAGCGTCTAATAGTTCCGCCCATGTCCTCCCCCGCCCCCTCCTGGAAAAGGAGGCCTTCCTTTGTTTTTCAGGAATGTTAACATCCACTTATCCTCCGTTGAGCAGTTGTCATAACCGAAAAGGAGGGCAAGGCACCGTGACGAGGAGGATGCTCCAGGAAAATGGAGGACCTGACAAAAATTTAAAAAGCTAAAAGCATTTAATAAACATGTAAATCCATGCTTCTTAGCCCTGCTCAAAATGGAGGCCCTTTGAGAATTCCTCCTGGACAGAAAATAAAAGCTAGAAACACTAAAATATAAATGCATACTTCCTAGCCCTGCTCAAAATGGAGGACCTTTGGGAATTCCTCCTGGACAGAAAATAAAAGCTAAAAACACTAACATATAAATCCATGCTTCCTAGCCCTGCTCAAAATTGAGGACCTTTGGGAATTCCTCCCGGACAGAAAATAAAAGCTAGAAACACTAAAATATAAATGCATATTTCCTAGCCCTGCTCAAAATGGAGGACCTTTGGGAATTCCTCCCGGACAGAAAATAAAAGCTAGAAACACTAACAAATATATAAACCCATGCTTCTTAGTCCTGCTCAAAATGGAGGACCTTTGAGAATTCCTCCTCGACAGAAAATAAAAACTAAAAACACTAACATCCAAAAAACTGATGCAAAACATGAAGACATCTTGAGAAATTTAGTGTTCTCTACCTGCATAGGAGCCTGAGGCTTCACAAAAGAAAGAGACATGCTGGATTCCAAGGAAACATCTTCTCTGGATTGCAAATGGACATTAAATTTCCTTGGCTTACAAAATTTTCCAGTGACCGCAAGGTCAAGCAGATAGCCCTCCTCCCCTAACATCTGAACTGAGATCAGGAACAGAAAATGCAGGCCTGAGACTGACATCTTCAATTTTTTTTTCCTGTTTTCTTGACGAAGAAGCCAGTGTGGCTTCAGAAGCTTGCAACATGTAATTGCACAGTTTGGTTGGCCCGTTAAAGGTATGGATGTTATTGCATTTGCTTTATGGCCAACATGTCTACCCCTAGATGTTTTTTGGATTTCAAGATACCGCATTTTAGCCATCACAGGGGAATCCTAAAGAGAGAGCCAACACACTGGAACCTTGCTATCTGAGGCTTGTGCCTCCAACAAAAGTAAAGGAATTTTTAAAAAAATATTGGGACTAACTGGCATGCTTTACCCATACATCACCTAAACTTTTCCTGATGCAAAACATGAAGACTTCTTGAGAAATTCGGCATTCTCTACATGCATAGGAACCAGAGGCTTCACAAAGGAAGGAGCTATGCTGGATTCCAAGGAAACATCTTTTTTGGATTGCAAATAGACATTAAATTTCCTTAGCTTGCAAAATTTTCCAGTGACAGCATGGCCAAAGGGCGAGGAGCCAGCCTGCAGATAGCCCTCCCCTATCATCAGAACTGAGATCAGAAACATCTTCAATTTTTTTCTCCTGTTTGCCTGATGAAGAAGCCAGTGTGTTTTCAAAAGCTTGCAACATATAATTGTGCATTTTGGTTGGCTCAATAAAGATATCATACATTGGAAGACAGAATTCAAAAGGACCTTGATAAATTATAAAATTGGGCCAAAACTAACAGAATAAAATTCAACAAAGACAAATGCAAAATTTTGTATTTAGACCACAAAAACCAAATATACAAATATAAGATGGAGACACTTGGCTTAGTTGTAGTATATGTGAAAAGAACCTTGGGATTATTGATGATCATAAATTGAACATGACCCAGCAGTGTAAAGCTGCAGCAAAGAAGGCAAATAATATTAATAGAAATAAATCAAGGAAAACAATAGTCCTATCATACTTTGAACTAGTTAGGACACGGGCCGGCAACCTTTTTTGCTGGGGGCTGGGGGGGATGGTGCGGGGGCAGGCAGGTGCGTGTGTGCTTGCGTGCACACACGCGCGCTCCCCCCACGCATGTGCATGCGACGCAGGTGCCATTTTGGAAGCCCCTCCGTGCCTGTGGCAGGAGAATTTGCCCGGTGCAGGCACGGGGGGGGGGCTTCCCAAGGCCCAACAGTGGCTGCGCAGCCACCATGGGGCCTTCCGCAATGGTGCTCGCTGCTGTGTGTATGCGGGCGCGAGCGCAGGCATCATTTTGGAAGTCCCCCGCGCCTGCGTTGGGCAAATTCACCCAGCTCAGGTGCGGGGGGTGCTTCCCTGGGCCTTGGAAAGGCCCCCCCCCGTGCCTGCAGCGGGTGAATTCGCCTGGCGCAGGCGCGGGGGAGCTTCCCAAGGCCATGGTGCCTTCCAAAATGGAGTACAGGAAGAAACTGACAACATACCAACACATGATGTTAAGATGATCATTGGAGATTGGAGTGCAAAGGTTGGAAGTAAAGAAGAATCAATAATGGTTGGAAGATTTGGACTAGGCAAAAGGAATGAAGGTGAGCATCTGATAGATTTTTGTGAAGCCAACAACCTATTCATTGCAAACACATGTTTCATAAAACCAGAGAAAAGGTTATACACATGGACATCACTGCAACACAAACACCAAATAGATTACATAACTGGAAGTAAAAGATGGTGAAGCACTATACTTGTGGCCAAGACTAGACCAGGTGCTGATTGTGGCACAGATAATGAACTACTCATTTCAAAAATAATAGTAAAACTCAAGAAGAAAACAAAACCAGTTATCATACCAAATTACGATTTAAACAACATTTCCACGGAATTCATTGACAACATAAGGAACAGAGTTGCAGTACTAAGTATAATAGATCGTGAACTAGACAAGCTTTGGTCTGAAGCCAGGGACATAATAAAAGAAGAATGCATAAAGCCACTTCTAACAGGCAAAAAGAAAGTGAAGAAACCATGGATGACAGATAAAATGCTAAAAGCAATAAAGGAAAGAAGAGAAACAAAACAAAAAGGAGATAGGATAAACTAAGAACCATGAACACAACAGTACAATGGCTAGTGCACAAAGATAAGGAAAATTATTACAACAACAAATGTAGAAAAATAGAAGACAACAACAAAAAGGGAAGAACAAGAGACCTATTCCACAAGATTTGAGAAATCAAGGGAAAGTTCAAACCAAGGACCTGGACACTCTACGACAGGGGTAGGAAACCTTTTTCAGTCGGGGGCCGGTCCGCAGAAGTCCTCCTTTCCAGTGGGCCAGGGAGGGGAATGGCAGTGCACGCCGCCGCGCGCAACCTCCTCCGCACGCGCTGCCGCCACCGCACATGTCGCGCCTGCCATTTTGTTTTCCAAAATGGCGGCTGCAACGCATTTGCGCATGCGCAGAAGTACTGCACATGCACAAACGAGTCGCGGCTGCCATTTTGTTTTGCCAAAATGGCGGCTGTGACTCATTTGCGCATGTGCAGTACTCCTGCGCATGCGCAAAC